TCCTGCTGTGCTCCACTGATATGTCTTAGTGTTACAGTGAAGTGCTATCTGCTTCCTGCACACTCTTCTCACCCTAAAGTGAGCACCACCAATGAACCCCAGTTAACACCCAGAAGAGGCCTATGAATCCTCTCCTTTGAAGATTTCTTACTGAAGCAGAGGGCAGTGAAGCATTTAGATTATTAGAATGGGATATATGAAGCCCTCAAATGCAGCTCACAACTTTGATCTTGTTGATGGTCTTTGGATGAGGTCATGTTTACAAGACTGTGAGCTGACAACCTTTTAACCAAGACACATTTACATGGTGAATTCTTCAGAAGCTATGAACGTTTAGAAGACTCTTTACCTGCTTTTGAAGAGGAAAGAGATATATTTTGCTCGTATTTCAGTAGACTCGTGGTCTAGTTTGATGTTACACTTGATGGTATGAGAGACTCTATTGCTCTTTCTAACTGAACGACAGAAACGCACTGAAGATCCCGTTGTATTTAAATGCTTGATATGATTTCAGATTTCACGTAAGCCCAGCGACCTTGAAACATATTCCCTCTGGTTCTTCCGCAATGAGTCAATGCAAGGAGTTCAGCTCCTAGCACGTGCCATCTCTCATTTGTCTTCCTTGCTTGCTATGCATGCCTTAAAGAGCTTTCGTAGTTCCTATTGGGCCCTTGGGCTTGTGCATAACAGGCAGGAAACCTCAGTGCTGGACAGCTAAATTACATGTGTGCTCTCATGCTGCCATTAAAAGGTTTGCAGGTGAGGGCACTCAAACAATCAGTCAACACATAATTAAACAGTGGAACTCATAGCCACAGGATGTTGTGGAGGCCAAAAGTGTGAATGGCTTTAAAAAGCATCTACTGGTGGAAGCAAAGGGGATGTTGCAGAGAGGGGGTCACTCTAAATTCGTCTTCTCCTACGTTCTCCCTAAGCAAGATACTGGACAGGTGGCTTTCATCTAAGATCATTGATCCACCCCATCACAGCCTTTCCTACAGTTAACAGGCTTATGGGCTTTACAGTTTATTACCAATACTGATATTTTACACATGGGTTTTATTTCTCGTTTATAATAGTATGTACAACAGGCTGCTGACCATAACGTTTTCCACCATCCTTCCGCACCCCCATTCTATTGCCCTTTTTAAAGACGATCAGAGCAGCAGGAGACTGCAAATGAGAAAGTGAGTTATTGTGAAAGTGGAGAGTTAATAGATAGCAGAAAGAGACACCTAAAAGCAGAAATAAGGTTTTTGAAGAGGGCGACTGCTTTTCACATGCATTTTCATTAGCAATTAAATGCAACAGGGTACAGCCAGATGCGAAGCACTCAACAGAGCAGAAACAGTTTGCAAAAATAGTTTTGAATACTCAGCTTATATTCAATTTGCTGCTTTTTGTCTGGCCAAACAAATATCTGGATGGCTGTAAGGTGTTTACCAAACTATTGATGAATTCCAGCTGGAACAGCTTTGCACGGGACAAATGTTCCTCCCCAAGAAACATTTGGCTATCATTATTTTCCTGTCTGTAACCTTCAGCCAGGCTATCAGGAAACAGAAACAAAAGCAAGTGGCCAATTGTATTTTAGGCAAAGTGAACAGCTTCAAGTCGTTTATCCTCTAAAATTATAAGACATATTTAAGGGAGAGGCAGCTACTTTGCAGTGGTCTCTAAGCGATTTCTGCTGTCCACCTGTGCTTTTAGTATCTAGATGACTTTGGCTAAAGCAATGAGTTGAAACCAGGGCTCCCATGGCCCCTCCTTGCTGCTCCCACGTAACAGAAAGAAAGGTGCTTCCTAATCTTTTGTCTCTTTAGTTCATTTCCCTGTGAAGCATCTTTACATTCAAGCTCTGGTCTTGATATAAACCTCGCGATATACCTATGTGGTGTGTCAGAGAACGCAGGATTCAGCCAGCCACGTTCTGTGGGAATATTCATGGTGGTATGGAAGACAGGCTGAGAGGTAAGTTTTTAATGCTGAGAGAGGGGTTTAACGATAAGAACTGTTTGAAATCTTAGTGAGGGATAAGAGAAGTTAGTGGCACAAGGGCTTGAGTCAAGAGTATATGAAATTATTTACACCAGTTTATCATATACACCATGATTCTATATGTTAGGATTGACAACCTTTTGAAGGCATAAAATCCTATCCTGCATGGGAAGTATGAAACAAAGCTAGCGCTGAAAGATCAAATATAACTCATAAAACTTCACTGGGGGAAGGCTAGCAGACTTGTCTTGCGAGGACTGCCAAGAGGCGGTTGCTGGACTAAGTGTAGCTGAGAGCAAGTGGAAACGAACAGAGTTTACCCACTTCTAATCTGAGAAATACTTCAGCTGTCAGTACCTCAAACTAGGAGCGTGACCATACCCACAGGACTTGCTTGGACTACCATGTCAAGGGAGCAAATTCCACAGGCAGAGCACTCTGCTGAGAAACATGTACTATTGTCCCCACGTAGACAACACCAGGAGGAACCACGTCCTTGCAAAGATTAGCTGTCATGATGTCATGCCATTACACAGACATGGATATTTCAGAGTACCCAGGCCTTGGGAAAAGATTTTAGGTTTGAAACAGGTCTTGTGGTATTTTTAGACACACAATTTACTTCTTTTATTAGCAGAAGACATCTGCCTGGTACAGGCTAAGCCTCTCTGGTCTCCTCAGTTATGGAAGTAGAAGTACTGTGGAGTACGACAATCCTGTTTGTCCTACTGACAGGAACCTTGAACTAGCTGGGCCCATTTATGGGACGCGTCATGTTGGATCCAGATCTGGTTGACATATGGTGAAAACACAGTGAAACAGATACCGTACAGCCTCCAGAGGAGAGCCAAATATAACAGTCACAGTTCTGTGCACACATGGGATATGTTTAGAAAGTGCCTTTGATTCTTTGTAGTTTAGGTTTTAGTATATGTTTTAAAGATATACCTTTTAGGTGCTAGTGGACAATGTCCTTCCTCCCTTTCTCTGATGTAAATATTGGCCCCAACCACTTGCCATTAGAGCAGGGCCTTTCTACAGTAGAACACAGAGGGCAAATCATCAAATCAGTGTCTACGGCAGATTAGCTAAAGCATGGCTAGAATTAAATTCAGAAACAGATCAGAAAGTGGTCCTGTTTTTATGTGTTTTAGATTCACTTCTTCGATTAAGATGATAAGAGCAACCATACTGGATTACTGAAGAGCAGCAGAAGAACAGCTAGCATAGCCAGAATAATATTCCAGCTCCTAAAAATGGATTCCCTGAACTAGAGGTGATTTCTTTGTATGTAGTAGCCTACAACAGATTTCTCCTTCATGAACTGTCCAACCCCCTTTTAAGCCCATAAAAAACTTTTAGCTCCCCAAACCTGCTCATCTGTGTTATCTTTTCCAGGATCGCCATATAGACAAACCCCAACTAGGACTGTTGGCCTGAAAAGCCTGAGATCCTGCTTCTCTCAAGAGCCCTATCGCTGTCTGCTAGATATGGTAACTATGGTAATACTTAATCACGACATATTAGGACAGTATTATGGGTCTCTCTGAGTCAGGTCAGAGTTCCTGACTCCGACCTCATAGCCAGTTAGGGGTATCTTCCTGTGAAATGAGACAATACTAAGTAGAGTAAGAGTTAAGAGCACAGACTCAATACTACATAGACTGGAAAACATTCCTGTTCGATCAGATATGAAAGCAGAGCCTGACAGCCTGTGTGAGTACATGATCACTCGCTATCCAGCGCCAAGAGACCTGGTGGCCAGGGTTCAAAGCTGACCTCAGTGTGGCGGTGCCAACAGAGACCATCTGAAACCCAGGGGTGGGCTCCCAAAGTCAAAACTGAGGCACAGTCATAGACAGCTGGAAACAGCATGTTCTTCTGTTGCTGAAGCACCACCTGCATTGAAGCGAAGAAACTTCACACTAGCATACTTCAACAAAAGAAAAGAAAACAAAACACTTGCCATGAACTGTTTTCGCTTGGGCTGGAAGCCCCAGACCACAACCAACCAGAGATCTTTGGTTACAAATCTGTTTTGCATGTTGTGGCACAGAGCCTGCAGCTGTTATTTATTCTTAAATAAAGGGGTGATTCCAATGAATACACATTTGTGCCCATCAACAAGAGTGCTACCTGGTTGTATAAAGTTATCATTTACAAGAGAACATAGAAACAAAGAACCCTCTTACAGCTACACATATTTTCCATGGCCAGTAGCCAGAAAAGGTTCTTTTTGCTCATATCCTGGAGACACTGGAGTCCCTTCTATTATCACACTTTTTTAATGATCTACAACCATGACCAGAAAAGTGAATTCAGGGAGGAGACAACCAATCAACACCACACAGGTGACAAACGTGGACAGAAATGCTACTGACTTAAACTAAAGGTCTTTTTTGAGTAGTTCAGGTATGAATTTAATCTTCCTGACTTCAGGGAGATCAACATCTGTAAGCGTGCAGCTTAAGCTCATCATCACTTCTAGGCTGTTCCAAGAATTTTATGGCTTTAGGGCTTTGCCAGATAGCCAAGAATACAGGAGTAGCTCAGATCTGGTTAAACTATTGTTGGGTACTGCAAGACAGAACGCCCTACAATATTGTATTTGTGGCACAAATACAGACAAGGTTTCCAAACAAGTCAGCATGGCCTTGGATATTTCCCAAAGCAGATAATTATTTTACTCTCTTGAAAGAAAGTTGGATATGCATATTCCCTGAGGCTTACTAGCAACAAAAGGCATTGTTTGATTTTTAAAGACCCTCTCAAATTCTAATTTCCTCATGCTTTGTCTGTAAGACATACAGAAATTGTATGTCCAGGTTGATTTCCCTGTTGAGGGAGAGTCAGAAGAAACAGAGGGGAGAGGTGGAAGGTACAGATCAGTGAGCAAGTCTTGGCTCTTAAAAAACAACTATGGCTATTGTTTGCTATGCAAACACATTGGCACTGCATGTTTACTTTTGTCCTATAAACAGCAAGTGATTTCAGTGTATACTAAAAGTTGCATTTAAAAAGCAGGATTACCTTTTGAAAGCTTTATACTCACAGAAGATGGATGAGGTATTTCCATTAGAGTATCCACATTTATGGAAGTAAATGCATGTAAATCTTTTGATGTCTTGAAGGTCAATGAAAGCTGACTGGGTATGGGACGTGCTGGGGGCTCCCAGAAGCCAGGGGTCTCCCCGTGCTGGCAGGGCAGGGCTGGTTCCAGTGCCCTTGCAAGGCAACAGGACAGCACAAGCACCAGGCATTGCCAGGGGGCCAGGCCTGGGCTGGAGCAGGTCTATGGGCAGGGGTGGGGAGCTCAGGTGAGGCTGATGGGGGCCGTTAAGACCCGTTAGTGCCCTCGGGGCCCTGATAAATACAAACAATTTAGAAAGCTCCAAGTCACTTCCGGTCAAATGAATCAAGTTTGATTTTGCCTCTTTCTTCACCTAATTAGACAACAGAGAGATTTATGATGTAACTGAGCCAACTAAATGTTTCTGTAATTTAACATCTAATTTATCAATGTCCAGTTCCTCTGCAGGTGCAATCTAAATAATTCCTAACTGATGGAAGCACATTTCTATTAAAAAATAACCAGCTTTGTTATAAATAAAAAAAATAACCAACTGATGTTGACCAAAGTGGATGTGTCCCAGAACAGGAACCAATGCGGTCATGTTAGCTGAAAAGCTCAAGCCCACACTGGTCATCTTCCTTGCCTACGTTTTGGCTTGAACTAAACGACCCTGCCGGGAGGAAGGCTTATGAGGATGCGGTTCTTGCAGGGCAGCCTCTGCTCGAAGCAGCATGGATGCACGTTGCTCAGGCCATAGCGGCTGGTCTAAGCTAGTAGGAGTGAGAGAAGCAGCATTTCCCACCCAACCGCTACAAAACTGGCATCTAAGCTTTATTAGTGAGGTGGGAAGTTGTTTCCGTTTCTGTACCTGGATACCAGAGATACAAATCCAGTTATTGTAATGATCACACGAAGCTTTACAGGTAAGATTGAAACAGACAAAGATGCTAGTGAAATTCTGCCCTGTTAGAGTTAACAAGCATTTTGCATTTGACTCAGTGGGGCCAAGGATTTTACCCTAAGAGTATTAGTCATCAGTATCAAGATGAATTAGAAGACTTGTCAACAATAAGCAGGCAAGATTATTCCCAAGGGCTGCTGAACTCGGGATCAGAAAAGCTGGAAAATCCACGAGTGAAAAATAATGTCCTGCTTATTCCATTTATACCCACAATGCATGTGATGCGTGTGTATAATGTCTAAGCATTTATCGCCTGCTTTATTCTGTTCCTGTCAAACATGTTGTAGAACTCTTTGTTCGAGGAGGCAGGGGAGGAATCTCAGGGTAAAATTTCTTTGGATAACTTCCCAGAGCTGGGCTCAGCTCTCATAAACAAGCCCTGTGAAGGCAGTTTCTGTGTACAACCTATGGTTCATATTTCTAGGAAATACTGTCAAGCAGAGCTACTAATGGCCCCATGGCAGCTTTGTGTTATTAAAGCATACAACTTGGATGGTGTTCAGCCCAACTAGCCCTGCTTGCAAGCTTTGAGCTTTGTCTGAAAGGCAGAATTTTCATTGGAAATTGCTGCTCAGTTGGCTTTGAGAATGTGACCTACTTCAAGCTTAATCAACACTGCAAAAATGCCACAAATACTAATTTGAATTTTCAAGCACAGTCAGTTCAACAATGGGGAAGAAACAACATTTTAATAAGACAGGGTTTTAAAAGAACATTTGTGGAAGACCACTTGTTTGTCGTGTTTATGATTATAAAAGTTATAATCATCCAGTCAAGGGACAGAAATATCCCTGTCTGAGCAGTAAAAACTGACCAGCACAATGTAGATGTCAAATAATCAGAAGCAGCAGTTTACAACAACAACAAAAAAGACTTGGCAAGAAAGAACAGCAGAATTTTTCAGTGAATAATAAACATATTTGAAACAAAGCATTATTTGCTCATGAACGACAGAAATACAGAGGAAGAGGTGGCATTGGTTAGAGAAATCATTCGTTGCATATTATTTGCCTGGCTAAATGTAATTGATTTCCTTATTTATCTTACAAACCTTTTATCGTGGAATGACGCTGTTTTTCTTGTTCACCCTAACTGTTGTTACTGGTGGTGTTACTCTATTTGGGGAAGCAGCAGTAACCTCGAGTACAAGCTGCCCTTGTTCCAGTCACTCTGTGCCCAGTTCTCCCTGACCAAGTTTAGATGAAGCAGAGAGAAGACAGGAAGACCCAAACTGCTGCTGTCACTGTAGCTACAGTCAACGAAACCACGCAGGGTGCAAGTGGGAAAATATGAAGGCCAGAAATCTATAATACCTACAGCCCTAGAAATGATCCTGAAATGGTAACCTGGGTCCATACACACCAGTGACCTCAGAACTGAATGACAGGGCTTTCTTTGGAAATATCCTTTTTTATCACTACCTACTGACTGGTCCCAATATTTTTGCTGTGGTGGATGATGTAGCTGTCTCTTCCATAGGCGGGCCAGGCAGCACTGCATTGTACTCCGGAGACTCAACAAGCATAGCTAGCATTTACTTATTCTCGAAATCAGTGGAGAAAATGAAAGGAGCTTCTTTCTGACAGTACGGAGCTACCAGCAAAAGGGCTGGGTCTGCTACGCCGTCTCGCCATCCCACGTCTTTTCTCTGGCACCACGGCCCCTCGCTGGGCACCGAGCACTGCAGCGCGGCCAGCAAACCCGTGCCGACGACTCCTCACTCCTACCAGGGCAGGGCACAGGTAAATCCTTGCAGTCATGCGGTATGTCTTGAATACAGGAATCCTCATAGGGGTATGGGTCTGCACAGCAGAAACTTGCTACAGGATTACAAAGATGCAAGTAGTCATAACCAAAACAAATACAGGAAGAAAGAGGGTCATGACAGCAGTTTTAAAGGAAGGGAGGGAAGAGATTTTCCCCATGAGAAAACTTTCCACGCTAGCTCATCACTAGCTATACTGGTTACACAGAAATCTACTCTTTGTTTGCTCTTAGCAGTAAGCACAAGGTGAAAAATACAGGCAGTTAGATCCATACAATTCCCTAAATGCTATGCTTCAAGCAAGGCGCCAGCGGTTATGCAGGGCCACAGTGGAAAGCAGCTCTAGCCTGCTCTGTGATTTGTTTTAGAAGCCGTTATGGGTAGCTGTTGATACATTTTTGGCAATGCTCTTACCCTCCTATAGATCACAGGATATTTTAGGTTGGAAGGGATGTCAGGAGGTCATCCAGCTCAACCCTCATTCAAAGTAGGGCTTTGATCCAGTAGACCCACTAGGGTATACACTGGACAGGGCTTTAAGCAATTGCAAACAATTGTCATTGCAAGCTGCTGCCAGCTGACTCTTCCCTTCTGCGGAGCGCCTGATTTTCTCTGCCCAGGTAGTCCGACTGGTCTTGACTCTGCCCCCGCTCATGAGCTCCCTCCCTGCAACTTCTCCAGTTGCTCTTTGCATTGCAACAGCCCGTGGAGGGAGCCCACACTTCTCTCCCCTCAACAGAAGTGTTACGTGACAACGTTGGTTTATAGTCTGGGAGGTGCGAGCCAGCTCATTTGTGCCAAAACCATCACACCGTTCCTCTTTGCCGTTACATTGTCAGAGAGGCTAAGTGATGCTTAAGTACCATTTGTTTTTAAGTGTAATATGAAGCCACATGCTATCACAGACATAGATTCCTCAAAGGTGCATGTGATATGGCATAAAAATCGTGGTGGATACCAACTGGGCCATGAAGAAGTGGATTATTTTCCTCACATAAAAGAGTTCATATAAGCTGGAGCCAGTACTTTTCAGAAATCATATGGTTCCTAGAGAAATTATACTGAACTGTAAAATTTGGTTTGGGTTTAGGAATTGCCCGCCTTCGGGAATGTTCAGATGCAGGTTTTAGTCTGGTCTTCTAGCTGTGGAGTCAGGTATGGACCACAAGCCTCAGTGTATTCCCCCAGGGCCTGAAGTGGGCTGGAGGAGGCTGAGCACTCCTG